AGTGGTGCAATCGCAGTGGAATCTTCACGTGCGGGATCGCTACGCTTGAAAGGAGATGCAATGGGCCGGGCAATGGATCATGACTTCCATACAGACGTATGCGACACAAGATTGGCAAACTATGACTCCGACCGCTCTTGCGGACGCACCGCCGCTCCAGGGAGGAGGTGGTGGTCCTGCTTCAGTTTTGTGTATTGTAGGGGGCCTGGTCGCCGCAGCCAGGAGACGAAGGGCGGTGTGATGAGACGCAGTCCGTGCTGACGCTCCGAGTCCTATGATTCAGGCTGCTTGATGTCCTGAGTTGGAGCATCAGTAGCTTGCTGACCCTGTGCCTTGGTGCTACCTACACCCAGCTTTGTACGGAGGGCTCATCATCATTCGCCACCGCCGCGTAGGTCGAGCTCGTGCCAGGCGGGGGAGGTTTAGACCATGGCGCTTAAACGCTAGGGCGTGCAGAAGCTTCGGTCTTTCCCGCTGGTGGCATGCAGTGGAGTGCGCCGTGCAGCACTCCAGGAGAAGTGCAATAAACCAATCATCATCATCATCATCATCATCATCATCATCATCATCATCATCATCATCATCATCATCATCATCATCATCAGCATCATCATCATCACCATCATCATCATCATCATCATCATCATCATCATCATCATCATCATCATCATCATCATCATCACCATCATCACCATCATCATCATCATCATCAGCATCATCGTCATCATCATCATCATCATCATCATCATCATCATCATATTCAACATCAGCATCATCATCATCAGCATCATCATCATCGTCGTCATCATCATCGTCATCATCTGCTGCTGCTGCAGCAGCTGCATCACCATCCCTCCCATACCTTATCATGGCGTAGATCTCCTCTCTATTCGCACAATCTGATGTCGCAGCATGGCATAGCATTACATGGTATAGCATGGTGTCGAAGAGCAATGCCTAGCATGACATAGCATGGCGTGACGACGCCCCGAGGTGGGGGGGGGGGCTTCTGCGGCCAAAAAAATCAACGAATCGACACCGAATGGTTTCTTCGGGAGGCCATTTTCTAGATTTTGGGGCCTACTTGGAAGAACCGAAAAACATGCCGGGGCATGGCGCTGGAAATAATGACGCCAGCGTTGCAGCGGGAGCACGATTCGGAACGAGCGGAAGCGCGGAAATGAGGCCAGCGCCGCAGCGGGAGCACGATTCGGAACGAGCGGTAGCCCGAACATGAGGCCAGCGCTTCAGCGAGAGCAGCATTTTGAAAAAAACTCAGCGCTGAAGCGCGGAAATGAGGACGCGTAGTCTGCATGGCGTGGCGACGCCCCAAAGTGGGGGGGGGCTTCTGCGGTCCAAAAAAATCAACGAATCGACACCGAATGTGTAATCACTTCTGATGGTTTACTCGGGGGTCTTTTCTAGATTTTGGGGCCTATGTGGAAGAACCGAAAACCATGCCGGGGCATGGCGCTGGAAATAAGGAACCAGCGCTGCAGCGGGAGCACGATTCGGAACGAGCGGAAGCGCGGAAATGACGCCAGCGCTGCAGCGGGAGCACGATTCGGAACGAGCGGTAGCCCGAAAATGAGGCGAGAGCTTCAGCGAGAGCAGCATTTTGAAGAAAAAACTAAAAACTCAGCGCGGAAGCGCGGAAATGAGGACGCGTAGCCAGACATGGCATGGCGTGGCGACGCCCCAAGCGAAAACCCAAGCCGAAAGCCAACTCCCGGGAATCATGTGTAAAAAACCAGTACACGGAGGGGCGCTGGACATTCCCCGGACGCCACCAGAGGAGAGAGGAGAGTAGCATTCATATTGTGTAATTGTGGAGGGGGAGGGGAAGGGGGAGTGGGAGGTGTTGGGGTGCTGAACTATTTGAAGCAGTGGGAATATCTGGCCTTCTCGTTGGCCCGCCGATGGGTCCAGGGGCGGCCCTTGGAAGCGCAGGGGCCCGTCCGGGGAGTGGCCCGCTGTTTCTCAAAAGGGGCCTCGGGACGCTCCCCGAAGCCTGTATGGGGGATCCAGGACGGCCTCGAGGGTCATCGGAGCCTTCGGACGACCCCGAGCGGCCTCAGAACGGCCTCGAGGGGCCTCGGACGCCTTGGGCAGCTTTTGAGTGGGCACCCATGGCGTTAGAAGGCCCTCGAGCGTGGTCGTCGTCGGGGACGACGACGACGACGACGACGACGACGACGACGACGACGACGACGATCCCCCCATATGCTTGCAGATCAGCCAGCCTCAGCGCCGTCGGTCGAGCTGGCCGAGTCGCCCCCTGGCGTGCCTTGGGCACGGGCGCCCGCACGCCTCCTCCTCCTCCTCCTCCTCCTTCTCCTCCTCCTCCTCCTTCTCTTCCTCCCCCTACTCCTCTTCCTCCTTGCACATATCGGTTGGCATATGTTTCCCATTAAAACAATAATCATAAAAGGCAAAAAAAATCAGACAGGCAGACAGACAGACAGACGGACAGACAGACAAACAAACAACGACAACAACA